CCGAGCAGCGAATACGGCGCACCGGGCACGCACGGCGCCGCACCAAGCGCTTCAAACCGAGTCCATGTAGCGTCTGAGGCGCGCAGGAAACGCCAGGCCCCGCAACGTGTCGCACCCAAGCGAGAGTCTTGCAAACGTCAGTTCTGCAGGCGCTGCTCGGCGACGGCGGTGACGGCAGCAACGACGAGACAGCAAGAGAGGCGTGTGTTTCCTGAGGGCGCCCCTGCTGTGCGGGCGGGCCATCCTCAAATGCGGGCGAGGACAGACGGCAGCGCGCAAAGCTGGGGGGTGGGCGCAACGCAGGGACTGGACCCCCATACCTTCACATCCTCAGACATCCGACGAGCACCATGACCATGACCCCCGACGTCGTGACTTTTCACGACGTCGACCCCCAAAGGTCTGAGCCCCTTCCCCGGGACGGGTTTTGCATCCTGCGTCGTGTGTTGACGGTCCCGAGGCCCAGTGAGGGCCACCGGAGGCCGAAAATAGCGAAAAACCTCCCGTCGTTTTGTTAGGTCGGGCGTGTTCTTCTACAGGCGGATTCTGGACGAACAACAAGTGTCAAAAAATGCACACAAAATGTTCAAACTACTCTAAGAATCGTCCCCTGACTATTGTTTGACTATTCTTGAATACTGCAGAGGGGCAGGCCTGGCTTAAGATTTCTGTCCCAGCGCGAGGGGGTCTGGGGAGGCCTTGGCCCTCTCCCGGGGGGGCAGGCCGTCGCCCCGGATCCACTCCTGCGGATCCCATGCCCCCGGCACGGCCCCCAGGAGACCGAGGTCCCGGGAACACGCCGCGATGGAGCAGCGGGGGCGCGCAGGCGTGGATTGGCGATCCACGGGTTGAAGGCGCGCGGTCCCCAAATCCATGCATCGCGGGGGAGGTGCCCTCACCAAAATGCGGCTAGTGCCGCCTCACTCGGCGGCGGAAATCCGCGATTTCCCATGGAAACGGGACCCGTCGCTAAACCACGCCCCCTTGATCCATGTTTACGATCGCCTGAGAACAGAAAACATTCCTTGCAGGGTGACCCCCCATCCTCCTCATTCCTCCTCGTCCCCCCCCCCAGTGCTCCAGCTTCGGTTGCGACTCATGGGAGCCTCCCATACCATCTTGTCGGCTTTTGCGAATCGACGCTAAATCCACGCCAGTCGACGCTAAATCGACGCTAATCGACGCAAGCCGACGCTAAATCGGCGCTATCTCATCGACTCCCAAAAGCGCCAATCTACGCTAATCGACGCTAAAGACGGAATTGCGAAGCTCATTCCTCTCCCCCCCCAGTGCTCCAGCTGTGCGCCTGGGCCGTCCTTGCCCCGGGCCCACGCACCACGAGGAGGGCGAGGCCAGGACGTCGGGCAAGGGCGCTCTGCGAACATCCCGCGCGGCCCAGCCGGACACCCATCTTTGGGGCATGGAGGAGACGGGTCCTGGCGGAAGCGGGTCCGGGACCCCCGGTCCTCCCCCCGGGACCAATGTTCCACCGCAGGCCGTTTTTGAAGGTCCTGGGGCCCTGGGAAAGGCCCCAGAAGCCCGAAGGCGGCGAAGAGCCCTCGGAACCCGTTTGCTTCAGGACCCCTTTCCTACTGGGCGACGTGCGCCGCGAACTGGCACAACTACAGCCAAAAGACTCGCACTGCGGCAGCCATGCCATACAACTCACACGACGGCCGCCTTGAAAACTCACGCAACGGCAACCTGACGAGGCAAACGTGCAGAGCACCCGTATGAAGGCCGCCCAAGTGGGGCCAGAGCACACGGCATCCATCGGCGACGTCGGGACGGAACATGTCGGGCCCTGGATCGCGACGCATCGCCCAGGCATCAGGGATGTGGCACAATCCACCGACCCGACCCACCCCGCGGGAGGACCTCGTGAGGCGTGCGGCGGCCTCGGGCGCCAGGCAGGAGCCGTGCGAAGTAAGAGAGAGAGAGAGAGAGAGCGCTCAAGAGCGCGCTGGCCGGGGAGAGCGGGTGCGCAGCGCGGCCCTGCCGGGGGTGAGCCCCACAGACACGGAGCACTGCCCCGAGCCCTCCGCCGCACCCTTTCTTGTTCGGGTGCTCGGCTACGGTCGGGTGCTGCCAGAAGTGCCCCTGGGCCGAGGTGCCCCCAGGATTCTAAGGGAAGCCCAGACGGCCTCCAGAGCGCCACTCACGAGGCCCAGAGGGCCCCAGGGGCTCCAGAATGGAGCGAAAAGCTGGGGGCACCTTGGGCCAGAGGCACTTCTGGCAACACCCGATACTGGGGGGGCGAACAAACACGGGGCGAGGAAGCGCGCGCCTCCCGCGCGCCTTCAGAGCCCGCGGCGGCGACTCAGGTGCCGTTTGGGGCTGAGAAGCCCGCGGCGGCAGTTCGGATGCCGCTTCGGGGCCCCTCTTTGTAGGGCAGCCTCCCTGCAACCCTCGATCCTCCTCCTCCTCCTCCTCCTCCTCCTCCACGCTTACGGGACCCCCAGCTTCTCCGCACCATTTCGTTGATAGCGTTCCGCTAGAGTTCGAAAGGCCCAGGGTTCGCTAGGGACTGGTCCCCCCCCAAAGGACGAAAACCTTCCTACAACCCTCCCGACGCTCCGAATAGCCTCACGGAGTCCTTCACAGAAGGTTCCTGGAGGGTTTCGGGAAGGTTTCGGCTGTTTTAAACAGGAAACCAATCCCTACACCCCCCCTGATATATATATATATATACATATATGTATATATATATATATATATATATAAACTTGACTTGTTTATGCTGGGTCCCGTGGCCGAACAAAAACGAAGAACGCGATTGAAGTAGAGTCCTGTTCGCACTGCAAGGAGGCGCGCGCTTTGAAGGACTAATCGACACTAGTCGGCTCGACTAAAAAACACAGAATTCTGACAAATCGACTTGATGAACGCACAAGGACGCCAGCTAAAAAAAAACCTGGCGAAGGACCCAACCAGATGCAGCTGTGAGATCCGCAGTTGTAAATATCGTCTTCGGTGGAGCTCCCTGTGGGCCACAAAACGTGTGAGTGGTGTGCCGATGAAGCATGCGGGCCCTGCCACTGGTGATGAAGCTGATGGCGATGATGATAATGATGGTGATGATGATGATGCTGGTGATGATGACGATGTGATTGGTGTGCCAAAGCTGATGGCGATGATGATGATGATGATGATGATGATGATGATGATGATGATGATGATGATGATGATGATGATGATGATGATGATGATGATGTGATGGTGATGATGGTGATGATGATGCTGTTGTTGGTGATGATGGTGCTGACGACGCTGATGTTGATGATGCTGCTAGTGATAATAATGGTGATGATGATGACGGTGATGGTGATGACGGTGATGATGATGATGATGGTGGTGGTGATGATGATGACAATGACGATGGTCACGATCTCGGTGAAGATGGTGATGATGATGTTGATGATGTTGATGATGATGGTGATGATGATAATGATGATGATAATGATAATGATGATGATGATGATGATGATGATGATGATGATGATGATGATGATGATGATGATGATGATGATGATGACGGTGGCGGTGACGA